GGAGCTCGCCTGAGTGGGACTGGGTCCTTTCAGTCATTCATCTTCAGATCTTTCCTCCAGCAATGCCAGGACGGCTGTGTGAGAATTTTTTTGTTTTGTTTTGGTGTTTTTTTTTTTGTTTTGTTTTGGTGTGGGTTTTTTTTTTTTTTTTTTTTTTTTTTTTTTGGAATTTTATGAAATCCCAACTCTTAAACATGAGCCCAGCATAACACTGACTCTCTCATAGGCTCTGACAGCATTAAGTACTAGAGAAAATGAAGATAGCCGGACAGTGTTACTGCAGTGCTGTTGTTTTCTGGTTTCTAGCTTATTTTATTCTTTTATATGTCTTGAACATTTGTAGATTTGGGTTAAATTCACTGTAAGGCAGGCTATAGTGCAAGTGCAGATTTAAGACRGGGAGGAGGATGTCAGTTATATCATTCTCTTGTTAAAATCGACCCATGCAGATATGTTCATGTTAGAGTGGAATACAGGGTTAATATTGTCCCGTGTGCTTATCTTAACACATGGATAGACTGCTAGGAAAGTCATTGATTTTGAACATTTCTGCCTTCTAACAGGTTTGGAAGGAAATCCTGTCATGAAAAGTCTGTTTGTTCCCACTGCTCATTGCAATCTTATAGGAATGAAGGGAATCAGATTTCTGCAGTCTTTCAAATTGCAACTTTGCTGATGCGAGTCATGTTTTGTTTTTGCCGAACCCATATGTTTCTACAAAAGAATCTGAACCCATGATGATAAAGGTTCCCCAAAGTTAGATTCATCTTAAGAATCTAGTTGTCTTAATTCTATGTTTCTTTAAACCATGTGATAATCAATATTTTCACTGCAGATTGTTCTGAAAAAAATGAATCTAGATTAAAAAGAACTTCACAGTTATTAGGTTTGTTTGTGAAGAAGGTTAATTTTGATTCTACTTAGATTAATGAACACTTGCAAAACTTCTGGGATGAGGGAAAGGGATGCATGCTCATGATATGGCAACTTAAACTATCCAACTTTATTAATAAGAACAAAAACATTATTGTAGAAGAAGTTCTAAGTGGGTAAAGAGTATCTGAAATAAACAGGTATTTTTTTGAGTGGGTGCATAGTCGAAAGGGCCTAGACTTAACCTGGCTACAGCAGTGTATCTTTTCACAGAGAGATCTAATTCTTACTTGTTCTCTCAGAGAAACATCTCATCTTATTTAGAGAGAGCTGAATATAAGAGAATGCAAGATAGAGATTGTTCCTCTTGAGCAGAATCAAGCTCAGCGAACGGAGGAAAGTAACCCAGCTGTCTGCAATTGTCATGAGTCAGAGCTTGTAATCATTTTATAAAAGCATGGGCCATTCACAGTGATACACAAATACCCTTTTAAGATTATTCTGTTGCTGCATGACCTCTGGATGACCTGGCTGAAATGGCCAATGCATGGAATTTTGGGCAAAATGCAGTTCTTTTCCCGTAGATGTGAGCAAGTTAACTAGATATGCACTGAGCTTGGGTAAGCACCATGAAAACATCAACAAAATAAGAGAGCCAGCCTTGGAGAACAAGAGAAAATAAGAAAATGAAGAACATAATAGAGATCTGAAAGGTTATTACTGAGTTATATTTCAATAATAATATTTTTAYGTTATCTGACAGGGTTTTACAACCCTTTTAGTAAAAAAAAAGAAAAATGATACTTAGATATGATGCACTGCAAGTTCATCTCAGTTGAGTAATGTCATGTAAATTAATCTTTTAAACATAAGAAAAAATCATGCAAAAAAACCCCAATGCATTTGTGATGTTTTGAGTATAAATGAGACATTTTAGCTACCTTTCACCTTGAGGTAGATTTCAGCAGAGGCCTATTGGACCTCTGAGAACTTGTCACCATTTGGTGACTCTGATTTTGCATTGTAGAATTTGGAATGATCCAGATCTCACTGTTCAAAGTGAAGTGAAACTACTCAGCCTGGAAATCTCTTGAGTAAATTTTCMTGTGTGTTTGAGGTGTTGCAATGTAAGCCCTGTTCATAAGATATTCTTCTGATTTCATTTTTGAAGCAACACTTAGCAACTAAAAAGAGCAGTCACTTTCCTCTACCCATCCCAGGACTACCTACTAAACAAGAAAAGCAGTTGCTCCTTTGAGACTTATTTCAGCAGTTCATGAAATGATTCCCTCTCATGATGGTATTGTGGAGAGGAAGAAGTCACGAGCGGAAGGACAGCAGCATTCAGGTGAGGGATACAAGAGAAATGCCTCCAGCTTCTTGGGATAGGAGACAAAGAGGAGAGCTTCTAGTTTTGTGGTTTGTCCAGCAGTATGTGGTCTGGTCCACATCGATGAATACCTGCTAAGAACTGCTCAGTCTGTGTGGTGTTAAAACCTGACAGACAAAGGCTGAGCAACTGTAATCACTCAAGAAAATCCCTAAGGACTATTGTGTGTAAAATGCCTTGTTAATGCTATGTCATCTAAATCATAACAGTAAAAAGATGGAGTTGAAGCATATATTTGGCTGAGTGTGGTAGCCTTCTGGAAGTTTCATTTTCACCTGAATTATTGTAGTCTATTTCTGAGTCAGGAGAATAAAAGAAATTAAGTCAACTGAGTTAAGGAGTTAAGCGTTTAAGAAGAAATTGTGTTAGGATCTTTGATAATCTTTGGTGTAACTTTAAACCCAGAAGGAAATAGGGACTTGTGTAATTAAATATATCTTTCATTTACATGGTAATATTAGCATATTTCTATCTGTCACACCAGTATCACAACTTCAGATGCATCTTGAAGAAAGCTGCTCTGTCCCGATATAAAATCAAAAGCTGTTTGAGAGTTATGGTCCTAAAAGGTCATGCATTCAATAAAGGCATGAACAAATTTTTTGTCATGCTATATTTCTTGACAACTTTATATTCTATCCAGCATGCTATCCTTATTGCAACTATTGTAACTATAAATATACACATGCACTGGATTTTAAAACAAGTCTGAGATTTGAGTTTTAACGGCTTATTTGTAAAGTAGTAAGCTTTTGCTTGAGGAATGATTTCTTTGGCTAACTAAACAAGCATTCATTACTGGTAATTGTGACACGGGTGCCACGTAATTGAGATTGTAAAATGTTTCCATTTAACCCTAATCCTGTGTTGGGATATGCCAGCTCAGGCTCCTGCATTTCTGGAGAGACCTGCTGATTTCAGTACAGCTCTAAACAGGGATGTGCAGGAAGTAGTTGGCAAAAGTGGGGGATCCACATGTGCTCTAAAGTGGTAGAACAGCAAGGAAGTAAGGGGCAAATTAAAAACATACACATGCACACATGTGCTTGTATGCATGGCATGGGGGAAATGGACAACTGTCAAATTCCACAACACAWTCAACTTGACAGTCAGCCTCCTCAAAACATTTTGTTTCCCACGAACACTTGTGCAATGAAATGCAAATATTTGCCTGTCTGGTTGAGGAGAAAATAGCACTCTCCTAAGTGGTTTCCTGTGGGTAYGGAGACAAGCTGAACGCCTGAAGTTCAGAGCCTGGAGGACTGGGACAGTGAGCTCAGTACAGATGGGGCATTTGCGGTGGCGGGTGGTGAGTGGTGAGAAATTAAAACCATTTAGATAACAGATATAATTGCAGATCTAGTGGTAGGGAAGAGAATGAGCTGGAGTGATCCTGGTGAAAGTGTATGATAAAGCAATGTGGTAGCATAATCAGACCTTCAGCTCAAAAACTTGAGTGACTGGAATTGAACCAGGCTCTATGACTAGAGGCTCATTTGTGGGCATAGGTGTTGAAAGATACTGCTTTCACTGTCCTTTGTGTTGCTTCATAGTKTGTGCCCTCACAGTGTACACTTCAATCCTTGGGCATGAAAAGATAATAAAATCTAAGCAGCTAAAATATGTGTGTGTGTGGTAGAAAGGATGAGATGCAAAAAATGCTGGACCTCACTGCTTTCTGCCACCTGGTTTGGTCTATGTATGGATGGGCTTTTATTTTCCTTTCATGCTGGCGTTTGGCTGGCACACCAAAGTTATGAGGCGACTGTGCCCTTATTTCTCATTTGGTCATCCATTAAATTTGTCYGAAAATAAAGAATTAACCTCATCCAACAATAGAGAGGAGCCAAAGGATAATTCTGACAAGAAGTTTGAATATTCGGTTTTCAGACTCATTCGGTGGAACTTCTCATTGGAGGCTCTTCCCTCTGTTTTCTTTCTTTTCTAACTTAGAACAGATTTGTTTTCTTGACAATCATTGGTTCTAATGRTAGTAGAAGTTTAGGACTTGTTATTATCATCTCACAGAAGACCCTTAAATAAGGAAATGGTCATAAAAGTAATTGTAGTCATTCAAATGGTGGAAGTTGTGGTAACACTGGCAACCTTCAGGTATCACTCGAAAATGAAACAGAGCTCCTGAGGTACATTCCTTGATTCAAAGAAGTGCTTAAGTTAGTTTTTAACTGATGACAAGTGACTGGAGAAGCCTGGAGTTAAAATGTGAAAAAGATGATGTTGGAAGCTCAGCATTAAATTTTAATGTTTCTCTGCTTCCCCCCCCCCGCCCCCCCCCATGTAAAATATTGGAAGCTGCTTTTCTCAAAGAAAGCCCCTCAGTTTAACTAATAACATATTTTAAATGCTAAAAGACTTAAATACTAACTTATTTAAGATTTAAATGCTAAATMTAAGTATGAAAATATTAATCATCCTTTTGAGAAAGTTGCATACCTAACGAAAGTAATTGTACTGTCTGCAACCTGAAAAGATCCACCTTTGGGATTATGCCTCCCCAGACTCTTGAGGCAGGGAGTAAAAACACCATCACTGGTATTGCTTTGTAGAAGTTGGACTGTGATTTTTGTAGAGCTATTGGACACCTTCTACTTTCCTTGAAATAATTACAGAGCTACGGAACATCTTAATTTAGATTTGAATTTAGCGTCCTTGTGATTCAAAGGAGTCTTTGTTCAGTCATTTGGACCTCACTGTATTGTTTGTTACATATTTTCAGATATGTACTCAGACTGAGATTATGGACTCCCCTCAACCTTCAAAACTTAGATCTGGAGAAACTGTTTGCATCTACCTTTTGGAAAGCATCTCTTGGTAATACACACCAACAAAACGTGCTTGTAGGAGCATGATTGTATATTTCAAGACTCTCTGATTTATAATCCAAAGCCAGTTACGTCTTTTTGTAAAGGCCATTATGTGTGTGGGGATATGTACACATTAAATTTGATTCACTTTTGCAAAATACATTTTGAAATATTTTATATCACCATTTGCAATACTATCCTACTAATTGCAATGCATACTCCCAACACTAGAGTTTAAAGGAAGCACCAGAGGGATATGTCATAAGTTTAGAGGAGATGCTCAGATTTTATCAGACACCAAGATAGTAAAACTTCAGAAACTTTTATTTATACTTGCTTCAAGGTGTGAAATTTAAAGCTTAAATGAACTGAGCCATTAGTTTAATTTTGAAATGTGGTAATACTTCTGGGGTGTTATTTTTTCCTTTAACCTTCAAGTATATTGAACTTGATTTGGGGAAAGCATGACACCACAWTTTTCTTGGTGTCTGTAAATTTTAGAAAATGGAAAAGGCCTCTTAGATCACCACGTCTGCTGTCCTCAGGGATAATGCAAGATGATACCTTTTTCCTCTGTCACATCCAGCTGAATGTGAAAGCCTTGCCTGACAGAACTTCCATCATATCCCATAGCTCGAGATGTCTCCCTGGGAGAAAAATAAAAGAATCTCACAATGCACTCAAATGCAGAGTCTCCATCTTATGGCTCTTGTGCTACAATAAATTTGCAGGATAGATGGGAAACATGTGGTGGAGGGGGAAAAGGATATTATGACCTGACCAGATCACCACAGGACAACAGTTCCTTGTATAAGGACCCCCTACTCTGAGCATGCATCTGACCCTATAGGGATGCAGCTTCAACAGAAAGGTTGCCAACTAGAGGGGAACTGTCAACTCCAAAGGAAAGCAGGTGGGAGGCAACCTGGTGGAAAGTTTGGAAACTGCTGCCACAAATGACAGAGCTCTGATCCCTGTGCTTTTTAACAGCAATTAAAGGAAGACCAATACTATGATAATACTGTTGAATTAATGAGAAGAAAAGCGAGTGATACCAGATTAATGACTTAATAGGCAAAATTGTAATACTGTTATTGATGATCACTGTTTTATGAAAGGCTCAACACTGATGATAAAACTTCTCCTGTAAAGTGTAGTAATGAGCAGTTTTGGGGCATATGTCAGAAATGTATGTATGTATGTCAGAAGTGCGTATATACATCAGAAATGAGTAATGTTTTGTTCTGCTTTTTTATTTTCAAGCTTTTGTGATACAGTATGAAATCTCCTTATACTCATTTGCTTCTTCTAGTATTTGGAAGGGTGGTTGTGGATAAGAACAGGAGGAATTTTTTGGATTAACCAACAACCCTGGGAAAGAAATTTGAGTGGTGTTGTGACTTTATTCTGGGTAATTGGCAGTCTRTGATACGGTGTTCCTGTGTACTGAGGGAACATCTCAGCAAGAGCTCCACCTCCTCTCTCTAAACCTAGTAGTAAAGCCAATTAAAACTGCACAGAATCAGCTGCCACATGTGTTTCTAATGTACACCTTTAAATTGAATTATTATCCTTCAAGCATACTGGGGCAGCATGCACTGTGTTAATCAGGCACCAAGTAGCTGTGGACAACTTTGCTTCTTTTCTTGCTCATGTCATTTACATGGAGAAATGAAAAGGTTTCCCCTTGGGCAACTTAATCAAGGTAACTTTCAGATGCCATAGGATGTGTCCAATAATTTCATTAGCACATTTGTAATGTGTTGTGTAGTGTCTAGGAATTTGGACTGCTCAGTTATCAGCATAATGCAAGTAGTATCAGAGAAGAGCAAAACCACATAGATATGCAGGGTGGATAAACAGAGAGGCAAATGCTGGTTTCCAGACAGGATAAATGCAATTACAAGTGCTGTAAAATCTGGAGCCACTAGTCATAGTGGGTAGTGTTTTAGGAAAAACAATTTAAGGCAGGTCTTTTCTGCATCTTCCAGTTTGCAGAGTTGGTATTTTTTCATTTGCAGTAAGCCACGGTGCCACAAAATGGTGAGGAAATGAAGCAGGAGCAAGTGTGCTGAGATTTGTGAAATGGACGTATATGAAAATCAGTACTGGCAAAGAATTCAGTCTTACCCTCTGAAATGTTACATATGTAGGCWAGTATTAAGCTAGAGGCAAATCTGCTCCTGGGATGCATAACATGCTGCCAGATTCAGAAAATGAGAAAAGCAATCTAATATTGCCGGGTTCTACTCCCTATATGGGTTTATGTTCATGTATGAAAATACAGATCCATCACGTTCTAGTGATGAAGCATTAATTCATGGCTTTAACTGTTGTGTTTTCACCAGTTTATTCTCAGTGAGACCTTGGCCTTCAGTTACTGAATGTAGCAACATTGCTATTTGATCTTCTCTTTCATGAGAAATGTATTCTAACAGCTGAAAAAGCTAAGTCATTTAAAAATACAAATAAATTATGTCTRCCTCCAGAGTTTATGCACTGCAGCCACTATTGTTACTTCTGCTACCTCCTTCTTACTGGGAAAACATGTGCAAGTTCCCCGGTGTAGATAAAACCCAAGTGAACTCCAGTGAGTAACATCCTGTATTTACAGTCTAGTCAAGTTTTATTTGTTGAAAGAAAAGAAAGTTCAGCTCATGTTAGAAGTTTTGATTTTGCCGTATATGTCAAGATTGGTTGCTTGCTTTGAGGTGTGATTTTGTTTGAGTCAGTTCTTACTAGTCTAAGGCAAATTAAAACAAAAGGCAAACTGTGAATGTCCTCATTTTGCAGCTGATGACAAAACTGCCAGCCAGGATTCCCGGTACCTCAAAAGGAAGGACAAGTTATCTGGGATCCTACAGACACTGCTTTGCTCTGGCAGACATTTGCATCACTGCTGTTGTTTCAAATGAAATAGGTCAGGGTCAACAAGTTGGTGTTTTTCAGTGAAACTTTGTTTCCTCTAAGAATTTTCAGATAGCCATGCCTTGATGTGCTAGAGTTAAAAGGGCTAAACTATCACCTTGCAAATGCTATTTTTCTTGCAAGCACTTGATGAAAATATAGTACTACAGATGCTCTTTGCCTTAACCAGAACATTTCAGAGCATTTGATACTCTCCTGTTCACTTCATGCTCCATTCCCATGCCAATGGTCCTTTTTAAAGAAAGAAGGAAAGGAAACAAAGTGGTCCTGCAAGCATCTGTGGAAGGAAATTTGTTGTGTTCCTTGCTAAACAAGAAAGCATTAGAAGTGGTGACTGGAGCTGTATTTGTGGGAATGTTTGTGACCASTTCCTTCTTCCTTCCCTCCTACTTGCTGTTGGCTTGTGGACAGTTTGTTTGAAATGTGATCAACTAGTCTGCAGCATGACAGAGAAGGGCAAGCACCTGGAAGGCAAATGGTCCATCTTCCCTAYGAAAAGAGCCTTGAAGGCTGGTAAAGGCCTCAAGAAAAGCAACACACTGATGGGAACCCTGGGGGTGGTTAGACATTTGTCTTCAGGAAATTGTCTCCTACAAATTATAAAAGGCAAAGGGAAAGAAAGCCARTTTTAACTTCCTCCATGGAGCAAAGCCTCCCGACCTTTGGTGGATGTTCAGGGTCAGAGCATAGCTTATATCTAGTGCAGTCCTGTCCCTTGGAGACCTCTGTATAGCCATGGGACAGAACAGAAATCCTGCTCCTCACTCCTGAGCAGGCGTATCAACCTTTGCCAAGCTTCCTGTAGGGCAGTAGCTGGTGTGTAAAAGCTAGTTATCATTTAATCCTGTGCAAAATTCTTTTCTGTACTCATGCACTTAGCCTGTGCCTAAGATAACATTAATTTTCCAGGCTGCAGAGGTGTATTTTGTTCCTGTGTTCTTGGTTTGGTTTGTATTGCATGCTCCAAACTATCACAACATTTTTTCCCCATTTTTCTTATTCATTCTATTCTTGTCTCATATAAAGTCCCAGGTGAGTCTTGTTTCACCTAAATCTTCTCTGACCTTTCTTTACAATAGAAATGTAGTAAACAGTTTTGTTTTCAGCCTTAATGCCGTTCCTTCCTCCCCACGCTCTTCAAGGTTCTKCTCCACATGCTCTCCGATTAACTAACATGTTACTTTGGCCTTTTTGGCTAACTGGGAGTGAATCTTTAAGTGCCTCCCATACACTTCCCATGCAAAAGTTTCTGTTGGAGACGTTGAAACAATATCCAGGCATGTCTCAGTTGCTGAAAACTTCAGATTCAGACAGGAACTGGTTAATAGCTTTCAATTTAAAGCCAGGCAGCGAGGAAATGGAGGCTTTAGGGTTGGATAAGTTCTTCTTTCCATTCTGTGTAACTCATTTTGAGTGGTTACTCTGTTTTACTCACATCCCTTCTAGGTATTATTGTTTGCCACTGAGTGAATATAACTGGCTGTTGTTTTCTAGTGAATGTGTTTCTTAAGATTGACAGCAAATGCACATTTTCCCATGTGTAAATGAGTCACATAAGGTTTGAGCTCACAGTAAAGATAAAATTCTATTGGTATATGGAGTATGTAAGTATAAACTATCAAAGTGCATTTCCCAGAAACTAAGGCTCACTGACTCTGGTTTGCAGGTATTTACATACAGCTAGATCTGACTGCTCACTAAAATTCTATATCTGGCCATAGAAAGCAGCTTCAATCTGCTGCTCATCCTCAAAGGAATGTTATCCCTCTTAACCAAAGGTGCAGGGGGCAATTTCACGCTCTGATGTGCAGTAATCAGTTGGACAGATCACACAGATGTCGCTGCCCTAGTCTTTCTTCATGCTTGAGGTTTCTGAGGCTTCATGCCTTTTGTAAAAGGTGGTCGCATGCTTCTTCAGACATGTTTCACAGTGTGAGGTCTCCTTTGGTCAGAGCTTAACTGTGCATAGAAGATAAAGGGAGTGTGTGCTGGCCCAGTGACAACGCATAGGTAACATCCAGAATTGTGTGTTAAGCTGCAGCTTATCTTTTTCAAATAATAACTGAAAGTACCCATGCACTAGCTAATGTTTTTGTTGTTTTGGAATTTGCATACCATGGGTATAATTCTCTGATTTTGACATTTTTGTTTTGCTTCAGTTTTATCTTTGTACTGTTGAAAGATGTACAACTCGAACTTTAAACAGAAAAAAAAAAAAAGAGACCTGTCAGTATATTCAGTTTTTGGAGTGGGTGTTTTTATCTATCGCTGTTTAGAATAAAGCATAAATATTTGACCAGAATTCAAATGTCAACTTTGTAGCCTGAATACCTCATCTCCAAATTAAAGGCATATTCACTTCCCCAATTTATCATACAAGGATAGAAGCATTGCCTCAAAATCTAATTCCAGCTTTGAGCTTCTGCCAGAGATCAGGCCAGCAGCCTTCCTGATCTGATCAGTCCAGCTTGCCAGCCACAGATGGGCCCCTATCACCTCCTGTCAGGCTATGCATTAATGTTGTCAGACCCAATATCCAATTAAATGAACTCTTCTGGGCCAAAACAGCACAGGATGCAGTGTGCTCTTGACACTTTCTCTGCGTGTCTARGTGCAATTACTTGGCTTTGAGGAAGAGACTGTGCGCAATCGGGATGACAAATTTATTTATTAGTATTAATAATAGTAATAATCATCAGAACAATACAGGCCAGATCAGAACCTGATGCAAACCCACTGAGTCATTAGACAAGCTCTTAATATGGAGCTAAAGCTTCCAAAGGGGTATTTTATGAGGCTTAAAACCCACTACAAAGGGCACAGATTTCAGCCTTGTCAGACTGATCTCTGTTACTTTAGCATCATCCTTCTCGCAAAGCAGTGAGGATCTTCCTTTTTCCTGGAGCTCTCCTCCCTCTTGGCCTCAGCTCCCTTTATTTTCTTACATACTTAAACATCTGATGTAATTTCTTACACATATTAATATTACTGAAGCSTGAAGAAATCAGCCAGATAGTATTAAAGTTGCTTGTGTTCTCCTTCAGTACTCATAGTAAAGAGGATTTTGAATTCAGCTGAATGGGAGCTTCCATTATTGTAAAAGCCTTGCAGCTCAAAATCATTTGGTCTTATTAGGCAGGAGCAAGGAAGGGAAAGGACGGAAAAAAAAAAAAAAAAAAAGTGATGCAATAGCACTTTGCACGTAACTGCATTCACACACTTGAAATGCATTTAGCTTTGAATAATGTTCACAAGCTCCAGC